ATGTTTTTAACACAGAAACATTGGTTATGAATAAATAAAAATATATTAGATTTAAAAATTTCTTTCTGTCAAAGGCATTTCTTTGACATAGTCTATTCTACCTATCAAAATATTCAAATCCTCTATTAAAATAAATAGTAAAACCAGTTTCTAGCTAAATACTAACATAACTGAACTTAAACTAAACATGTCAGAATATTATCTACTACTTTAGCACTGTTTAACTCAGTTTTATTATCCAAGATGTGCATTTATTTCAGTTTTTCTGCAGTTGCTCAAAATATTTTGTGAACCAATTTTGGAAATTATCAATAGAATTAGAAGTATGTCTATTTGAATACTCAAAATTAAATAGAAAAAGAAAGTTTTGGAACTCATCTTTTAGGAAAACAATTATATATGTATTTCTGTGCTATGAAAAAGATTGTAGATTAGTAAATATAATATTAACTCTGGTTATTTTAGGAGAATAAAGTTGCAAAGTAGAAAATTTATATTTAAATTTTATTTAATATTTTTTGAAATTATTTTAATTGCAATGATATGCATCACACATATAATTGAGAAAAAACCTAATGAAGTTATATTTAAAGATGTATAGAGATGAAAATTACAAAAAAAAAAATGCCTTTCTGCTCATGCCCTTCTTGGATGAGTGGAGACAGTAATGACTATTTGAATGCACATGTGGGACAGCCTTAAAGATATATTTGACTAGTAGAAATTGAGCACAGTCAGAATTTTAGAAAGCTGACCAATAAAGCCTGAGCCAGGAAAAATATCATTATTAATCCCAGCCACAGTGTTAAAGGAAAATATTAATGTCTGATTGGACTTTAATGCTGCCTGATAAAGATAGATAAATACAAGTGTTTTGCATATGGCTCACACATATACACAACTACAGAAAGTAAAATGACTCTCTCTATAAAAACCAAAGCTTACTTCTTTACTACTTTTCTTTACAGCTAGTTTTTAAGTAGTTGCAGTGTCTGGTAGTGGGTTGGGGATGAATTTCAGGATTATTATTGCAGTTGACAAGCAAGGCAGCTAAGTTTCTCTATTAGCTTGAAAAAATGCTTTGTGATGGTCTTTGGTTAACTCAATAGCATAAACTAAAATAAACATGTAAGCAAATAATTCTTGTGTCTTTATTATATATATTTGTTTCTTGAAGTTTCCAATACTTAATCTAGAAAAAGTTACCACACAGTATTTTTGCAGAAAGAACATTTTTACAGAATAAGTGCATTATTGTCATTGCAAAACTATTACTTCAATGATTATTCATTTCAGGACAAATGTTAAAAGTAGATGACCTCATATTAATAAATGTTTTTCCCCAAAAAGTTTATATGGATGTTAGTTATTTGAATATGTTTAACATACATTAAATGCATGTACTTGTTAGGCCAAACCCCGGATCTGTGTATCGTCATACGCTGATGCATAATAAAATCATGAGAGATCCGTGTTGGCAAAAAAATCACCCTGTAATACTGTGTCTAATTTTGGGACTATTGTGAAAATAATTTCGAGTTCTAATTTAGATTCCTGGGATACACGTGCCATGCCTTGACAGCATTAGAACACATTCTCACAGATTTCCTGTGTCCTATTTACTTTGGCTCTGTGATGTCTCTGGTACTAAGAATGATATTAAAGTGCTACCTGGACTTACTTATAAGGGAATAAAGGTTTTATCAGCCACCTATTATAATAATTCATGTTGATAAGTGGAAGAGATAAACCCTGCCAGACAAAAAGTAATATCCTGTATTAGACTAATTTTATAGAAACTTTAAAAATGCATAACAAAGTTCAGGAATAAGGTCCTTATAAATACCGAATTGAAATAGAGAAGATACCTGGTTGAAACAAACGATGAGTTGACTTCAAGCAGTTAAGAGTTGGAAGCTATTTCTCTTGCTTTCACTTTTCCATTCCTTTTCTCTCTCACATACATGTACATACCACACACTCTTCCTACTAATGCTTGTCTTTTTCTGTTTTCACTGACTTATGCCATTATGAGAAACAGAAAAGAATCCATCATAACAGGAATTTTGTGACAAAAAACCCAATAAAAAGGGCAAACACAAAGAAAAGCTTAAACAACGAATTTGAAAACAATGGCATCCAGATTATTTCAGATATTTTGGTAGTAGGAATTGTTTGAGTCATGTCCAAGATTTTTGTGGAAAATAAGTGGATTCTTGTCACTTATTCATACTTCTTTCAGTCTAAGACACAAAGTCACAGAAAGACATTCCAATTAGCCTAGTTAAGATCACTTCACTTCTTCCAAAGTACAGAGATGGAAAGATTTGGAGTGAAAGCACCAGTCACCAGAAATGGCAGCAGGAAAGATGGAGTTACTTTTTTCAAAAGGAAATCAAATACAGTTAGGATGCTGATTGGATACTGAGAACTATAAACAAACAAAACTCCACAAAACTCTTCCAAACATATAGTCCTCCCTTTATAAACTGAAGATAAGTGACACTGAATCATGCACTAACACAGACTTTTTAAAAATGACTGCTCTCACTAGGAAAAAGGAAAGTTTCAAAAACAGCAAAACAGAAAAAAATGTGTCGGGAATTGAACAATGCAGACTGGATATTGATAAAGACCCCTCCAACCACATCATCCTGACCCTGGTTTGAATCCTGGCTTTATCTCTTGAATGTTCTGTGATCTGGGACATATTACTCTATTCTCTGATCTTCAGATTTATTATCTTTCAATGGAAAGAATTTTACTTTCCTCAAAAGTTATACAGAAATAGCTACAATATACTTGAATACTCTGCACAGTGCCTGACATAGTCAATTATTAATAGATGTTTACCACTATAAATATATTATTTCATAACTATTATGTAATTTATCATTAATATAGTAACATATTATTGTTACTTTCTTAGTATAGAAAAGATGACTGACTTCTGTCAAGTATGTCCTACATTTTTCAGGCAGGAAGAATTATTAATCAAAATAATTGCTTCACTTTCTTAAATGTACTTAAAAAAGTGTTAGCTATCCAGAAGGTGGCAAGGAAGCTTTTTATTTTCCTAAAGGTAATATTTCCATTGGCTTCCATCAATCAATAAACAAAAATTTGTTGAGCACACACAGTGGTGGATGGAATGTGCAATTATATTACAAAATGAGCAAGTGAACATATAGAAGATAAAGTGAATGGATATTATCTCGTCAGAGTACAATAGTTTTTTTCTTCTTCCTTACTAGGTTTTTTCAGGATTTGTATTCTAGAGAAATTTAATCGTGTTCTTAAAGTGTTTTTATGAAGATGTTCCTCTTTTAGTCTAGTGTCTAGTCAAGTATAGAATATTTCTAAGGAAAACTGAAGATGCAGTATTGATGATTACATGAGTCTGCTATGGCTGCCATAGTGAAGTACCACAGAATGGGTGATTTAAGCAATGGAAACTTTTATTTCTCACAGTCTGAAAGCTAGAAGTCCAAGACCAAGGTAACGCTGATGCTGATTTCCTCTGAGGCCTTTCTGTTTGGCTTGTAAATGTAGTTTTCTTCATATGTCTTTACATGGTCTCTCCTTTGTGTGTCTATTTTCCAACCTCTTATAAGGAACCCAGTCATATTGGATTACTGTCTACCTTAGTTAACTGTTTTACCTTAGTTTGCTGTTTAAGGTCCTTTATTTCCATACAAAGTCACATACTGAGGCATTAAGAACTAGGGCTTCAATGTCTACATTTTTGGAAGACACAATTCAGCTCACAAAATAAAAAGGCATCTTTAAACTTTCTAGAAATTTATTTAATAAAACTTTGAACTGGAGTCCCTTACTCCCTAGAAAAATCATTTACTACATCTCTCTCTAAAGGCTCTTTGATTACATTTTAAGTTGTGGAAAAACATTGTGAAGTGTTTTAAAAAACTATACTTCTGTGAATTTTTCATAGTGAATAGAAATCCTAACCAGAAACTTAACCCTTTTCCTATAATCATTGACTAATTCAAAAAAATGTCTACAAACAAAGCTCATAACTACTTTTTCTTTCCCAATATCATGGGACTTTTGCTGGCGAAACTGTATTGATTAAATATCAGATAATAAGTATAAGCCCACTGATTTATTCAGGTATCTATTGTAAAAACTAGATTATGATATTATATTATTATATTAAAAACTCTAGCTATGTCCTGAAATTTAATTGTGAAATCTCTTTATCAGAGGGACTACAACGGACTTACAATACATAAACTAAAACAGCTGTGCCTCCTTCTTTCCCTTTTGGTATTCTCACTTTCATAGTTCTTATAAAATTCATAGATAATCTCTATTAAAATCAGCCTCTTGATCTGACATTAGATGGTCTTTAACTTAGTTTTGTCATATCCTAACCCAAGCTTAGTTTACTGATGAGTGATTTTTTCAGTACTGTGTACAGTCTCCTACTAACACAACTCAGTTTCAGCATGTGAGACTATGCGATAGAAATCTACTTCAGCTAGCAGTCACCTTGCTTTAAATCTTTCCATAAATATAAAAAGTCAGTAAGGGCATATCAAGATGACATATTGTTTGTTTTGGGCATTTTAAAGTTTCTCCATGCAAAAGAATTCCTTTCATAAAAGCCAACTATGCCAAAATGCGAAGCATCAACCCAATAGTGCATATGGCCATTCAATTAGATTATTCTCTCCCTCTATAAAGAAGCAGTGCAACTAATGGGCATAATTGCATTTGAGAGCTTGGGACATGCTTATTTCCTCCCAAGATGTTGTATATGTCATTTAGGTAATGAGACCTTGCTATGGTAATGCATTTACACCTTAATTAGAAGATAGAACTTTGATTTCAATACTTAAACAGCCCACCAAAATGGAAATTGTAAATTTTTTGAAGAATACCAGCAGACTTGTGCTAAACATTACTGCTAAAATATTGTACATATAACATGTGCTAGGCTTAATTAACTTCTATTATCCATCAGTAAGGCTACATACCTGGCAACAATAGTGAACAGATGTATAAATACTGTAGGAGACTCTCTTGCAGAAAAATCTCTGAAGATTTTTTCAGTTGGAATGTACAACCTCCTGCTAGAGAAAGCATTACTTTTAAAAACTGTGGCAAACATTCCAAATTTTGCATGGAAAGATAAATCTTAGAGTCTCTCTTCATGGGATATTTTCTCTCCTTAAAATTTAAATTGAGTCTAGATTTTTATAGTATATGTAAACAATGATCTATGCTTCAGTGTTATCAGATGAATTGAGGAAACAAAATATCTTAGAAACAGACCCAAAATTATACCCATCTGAGAAAAATAAAAAATATCTCTATAAACATTCATGCATATTAAGCATGTGTAGCATGTAGTGGTATGTATTTTATTAGCAGTATTTAAATCTGTCTATTCCAGAAAGATTTAGAGTACATACAATTTGGGGTCAGGTGTAAGAAGAAATGGTAACAGAACATATCATACTTACTGGGAGCCTGTGGTCACTGGGTCTTGTATAGGAAGTACAGGAAATAGGATGCCTCTTCTGTTCAAATTCTCATGCCTTCTGTTGCCCTGTGTCCCTACAGTGGGTGACTGGTAGAGTGAAGACACCCAAAGTATTTACCACAAAAACTGTTCCCATGCCTACTCCACTTGGTAATACCAGGAATTTCTTTGATGGTGCCACTCCATCTGATGATATTCCAGGCCTCCAGCTGTAGTGTCTAGGCTCTCTGTCATGCTTATAAACCATCTTAACAATAGCCTTCACATGAAGGGACAGCAAAGATAAAGAGGAAACTTTTTATTCAGGAAGTGCCATTCTTTGATTTTTGTAACTACCACTTTTCCTCACAGATTGTTCTAATGAAGTTTGTAACTTCTCAGGCATCCATATATTCCACAAGTACTGCCAGGTTTCTAGAAGTAAGTGACTCAGTATTATTCTGTTGTTCCTGTTCCTGTTATATCTCTGTTGTAACTTTTACCAAAAACAAACTGGAGAATATCGGCAAAAGGTAAAGATTGATGATAAAATGAATAACAGAGAAGCAAAGAAAAGTTTGAGGGCAGAGATGAGGGCAGTCAAGAGGCAGCAGGAAAAAGAACAATGTGGGAATTTCTAAGGGATATAAAAGCAGTGACCACATGAGTGGCTATATAAAATCTTATCCTATTTCCTTGCCACCACGCTAAGGACACCATACATCACCAGTATGTGAAATATGTGTCATATGTATGCTTATATATATGTGTCATATACATGAGTCCTGAAAAATGACACAAATCTGTGTCAGTAACAGCCTCTGGGGATTTGAGTGCCCGGAATCCTATGAGAGGCCCCTCAAGTAATGAGCAACCTTCCCAAGCCCTAGTTTACCATTCTCTTTGCAGCGTTCCCTCATTTTTAAATTCCAACAATGATGAAGTAGAAAAGGAAAACAAAATTCTTCAGTCCTCACCAAGTTCCAGCATTCGCCAGGATGTCCCTCCTGTGGCCCGGCACAGAATTGATTTGACAGCACCCTTTAGAGGATGGTCTAACTAGTCTCTGGCAGGGCAATGCTTTCTTTTAACCTGTAACTGTGTTTGGAAAAATGTTCGTAAGATTTTGATTCTGACCTGTACCTTCTGTGGGTTACTTTAAAATGGATTTCGATTACAAGGTAAAACGCAAACTCTGCAGTGTGAAATTCTACCCTCCCTCTACACAATCTACTCACTGACTGCCTTTGCAATCACATCTCCAGCTATTTCAGCAATTCCAAAAGAAATGCTTCTCTCTCCTTTCTACCACTTAGTAGGCAGCAGCATCGCTGCTTACACCTGACCCCAAATTGTACTCTCTATTTTTTCCTCCTTTTTCCCTCAGTAGGCAGTAGCACGGCTGCCTGATGAGCCATCCTAATGATTCCCACTTCTGAGGCTTTGTTTATAGTATTCCTATCATCTGAGCCCTCTTCTCTTGGCCCATTCTAATCCCATCAACTCTTTTGGGTACAATGTGTATCCCATCTTCTTTGAGATCCTATCTTCTGTCTATATTGTTCAGTAATAATTTGGTAGGTTTCCATGGCCCTTCCTCAGTGGCCACTTATGTAGCATTTGCATATTAGTATTGAATTCACCATAGGTGTCTTTGTTCCATAAAGGAACATAAATTTTCACATAAATGATCATAAGGTAGAGTCTTCTTTTTATCATTTGCAGAATCTGGCATGGCATAATATACATAGAATGTACTTACAAGTTACTGAATGAGTATAGACTTAAAAACTCTTTTGCTTTGAGTCTTGAAGATAAATATTTAAGGTAAAAGAATTAAGTTTAATAACAAAGTAATTACATATTGAGTTTAGTAAGTACTAAAGCTATGTTAGTTTATAAATATATTTATGAGTTGCTCTACAAAATAATTGATAAAATCTCAAATGTAAAATATAAATTTGTAATTCCATATTTTGCTTGATATTTAAATAGATACAAGAGAAATTCATAATACCCTGGGATGAATTGCATCACTCTGTATAAGTTTTACTATTAAAAAAATAAGTAAAAAACAAAAGATAAGTTGACTATCAGTTAATGAACATCACTAAGAGAATGTGAATCATACTCCTCATAAAAATAACAAAATAGCAAAAATAGCAAGACATGCATTGCAACCATATTTGCAGACTGATGAAAGCTCAGCTTAACTTTTCTAGAATCCAAAAGTTCTCAGTTAAACTATTAAAGTAATTAGGTTTTGTTTTTAATCTCAGCATCACAGAAACTGTACATTGAAATGTCTTTCACAAATATAGAGGCAGAAAAAAGTATTTCTACTTATTTTGCTATTATTGTTGATATATGAAAATACACAGTAAAGAGGATTCTACTATCTACAAGACAAATGCAGCTAGATTACTTTCCCATTCCAATAGAAACTACAAAAAGATATCTTTTCTTTCTCTTTCTCTTAATCACAAATACAATCTGGAACAGAAGCCAAGAATAAACTTAATCTCCTGGTAAGTTTCAGGCATTTGACAATTATGTAGGCATTGATTATTAGCATTAGCCAGGAGTATAGAAACACTTAATAAATATTGCATGCAGAAGAGTAGCTGCACTTAGATGGATGATTAATAGTCCTGTTGCTGGTAATCTATTGTATCTTTTTTGCATGGAAAAAGCAATTAGAAACACATTTCTGACTATCCCAGACAGACCCTAGATGTTTCATGGCAGAAAATTAAAATTTTAGACATTGCAAAGAATATAACAAATGTATCTTCAGGCACCACATAATAATCATACCTGGAGGCCCTGGAGAAGCTCATAAGTCCACACTTTGACTTACCTTTCCTCCTTTTGATAATTTATTTTAATAAAGCCTTGAAATTATTTATTTTCATAGTGGATTTGTGTGTGTGTGCAGTTTATTGGCTAATAAGAAATACATGTGAATACATAAAAGGGAGGGAAGGAGTGAGAGAGAGAGACTTACTCCAGAAAAATAATACAAATGCACAAGGAATGGTAACTCTGACAACCATACCTTACTAGACCTATAAATATGCAGTCAGGAGACTAATACAACAGTCAGAAAATAAATTTTACTATCAGAATTCCAAAGTTTTACTATAATCTTCGAGTAAAATTGATTTTTTTATGTGAAAAAAAACCCTTTATTTTATTCTTAGAGTTTTTCATTATATTCAATACAAACTAGATATTTTATGTCAAGTAAGTCACTATTGGCTAAAATCTGCCATATCAGATTTCTTCCTGGAAGAGAATTTTAATTTGTATTACTATTATTATCACTTACAGGAGGAAACGCTCACATTCCAGGAAAACTTTTAAAATTAGTATAAGAGGAGCAGAGAGTATTGAGCTAAATTAATGCTATTAGGAATCCACTAAAATCCTTTACAGACATTTTCTTTGCTTTCTTTTAAACGGCCACGAATACCAGGAGCCTTCTTTGCAGCAGGGAAATTGGGCCTACAGAGGGCAACTAAATTCAATTCCCACAAATGAGTGCTTCTTTTATTATTTCATGTGCCATCCTCACTATACCTGAGTAATGAAAACAAAACAAAAAAAAACAGAATTAGTTTATTGTCTTAGGATTACTAGGTTAGTCTTCATCACATATTATTTTCAGAAATTTCATGTATTAACTTTAATTTTAACTTCAAGTTCTAAATAGTATAATGGTAGAATTTCCTGTTAACATAACAAGAACTTACTGATGAGATCATAAGTCCTAAAATGTATGTGGCACCATTTTCTTTTGTATTCTTTTCCCTATAACCCCCAGCCCATGAAACAAAGTTTTGAATGAAATGAATGAAAGGTGAGTGTTGAGGGTCAATGGATATTGAAGAGAGTGGATTTCTGTTACAACTTGCTGTTGGTAAAACTTAAAAGTGTGTTTTATTATGTATTGTTATAAAGCATCTCTGTCTTCATAATCCTAACACCCACACACATTAGGGTCTATATCTGTGATAACAAGACTGATTTTGCAGAAAGGAAACAAGACAGTCACAAGAAAGGAGAAGGAAGAGAAGGTATTCTTATGGATAATAAAATAATGGCACTTTAACACACATCTGATGCAATCTGCACATAGTTAAAATCTGCATTTACTTGTGTATACTGCAGTATTCCTGTTTAGGAATAAAATAGCTATTACATACGATAAAGTTTTAAATTAACACTTTTTCTATTACTAGAAAATATAGGCCATAATTTTTCTTTAGTCTATAATGAAATTTGAAAGAAAAAAAATCCATAAAATGTATTGACTAAGAAAGCCACATCAGGTAAACCAAAGGAGTTATGAATTCTTATGGGATTGCTCTCCTAATAACTAGTTTTAACTATCTTAATAAGTGCTAGTCCTACAAATAATGCTTTTGTGGTGCAGCTGTTTTGTTAGAGCTGATTGGGACTTTTCTGTATCATCCATAGTCTTTCCCTGGTTTTAGTGTTCATAGCAAGATGCAAGAATACATAAAACATCTTCTGAGTTGACTTGACTTACGTGATTTTCAAGCCTAAGTAGACAGCCAATTTAACTGCTTCTATATGGCCAAAAAGCTCAGCTCAATGGCAGTTATCAAGATCTCATTAGAAAAGAAGGTTACTAAGACAAGGCTTCATTTGGAAAAAACATCTCTTTTGCTCTCCAGATAAAGGTTTGAGGAAGCCAGAGACATGGCTCAGGTGTTGCATCTGTGACAGTTTTGTGGCAGAGCAGTATTCCTTAATTGCCCATCTAGCTAGGAGGAAGCTTTATTAGACACATTTATGGTTCTCATTGCGACTGGTGTTCCACAGTATGATCCTCCAAGTCAATTATGTGGCTGTTTCTCAGGCTAGGTGAATAATGCACTACTGAAATAATTATTGGTTATTTTGATATAGGAATAATCTAAATTTGTTGATTTTGTTGCAATCTGTTGAGAATTAACTTATATTTAAAAAAAGTGAATGAGCCTGTAAATGGTTGATTTGATATGCATGTTTTACAGCATATAGATACGTCTAACAAAGCCATTTGTTTTCTCCAAAATTACAGTAAAACACAATATAATCAGAGTTTACTCACAATTCTTAAATGTGCATAGATACAAATTTTCCTCTGCCTTAGCTCATTCTTCTATGTGTTCTCCTTATATCATTCATAAAATAGCTTCCCCTTGGGATGCCAAGAAAGCAAACCTTTGGGCCACCCCATAACTGAGAATGATTCTATCCTTAGCAGCTTTCAGTCTCTCCAGTGCTATTTTTCTGAATGGATTTGTTTCTCTTCAGTGATGTTCAGAGCATACAAACCAAACTGCATGTGAAATATTGCCCACCTGCAAAGCTCTAAAAGGGCACTAAATGAGGTAACCATGACATGCAAGAACAATTGTTTCTGGGATAAGAGGAGAGAATTACACAATGACAATACTTTCTAGGTAAGCCTGAAACGAGTCATTTGACGTATTTCAAGGGCAAAGTGAACAGATTAAATAAGGTCTATTTAGTAACAGAAAACAGTTTCTAGATCTATGCATTGGTTTACTTAGATTGGTTGACCAACCCCCAAATACTACCTTTTTCTATGTATTGTGTTCACTCTGGCTTCTCTTCCTCCCTCTCTTCCTTCCTTTCATTTTATTTCCTCTAAGAAATTTTCCAATACAACCCCCACTCCTAAAAGCACGTGACAGATCATCTAAGTTCACTGTGCTCTCTCTTTCCTTGAAGTCCTTATGGCAATTTTATAGATGTTTAATTATACTTCACCTTACAGTGATTGCATATTATTTGTTGCCATAAATATTTCTTTATGAAGCATATCATAGGCAGAAAAATATTTGTATGTTTCAATAAAGAGTAGGAAAAATTAATATCCTTTATAGTTTAAATATAATCCTTAACATTAATTTTAAAGCTCTTGTGTGAAATATCTCCTTATGGCTTTTCCTCAGTTTCTGTTATATTGTCTTATTTTTATTTATTTGTAGGAGTTAATTTTAGGAGTCTATATGTAACCTTTCCTCAGAAGTGTGTTGCAAAATCTTTTCTATGTGACTTAAAGAAGAAAACCTCTTTAGAAGAAAATATATGAGGCTATCTTCACATCCTCTGGATAAAAACTTTTTTTTTTTTTTTTTGAGACAGAGTTTCACTCTTGTTACCCAGGTTGGAGTGCAATGGCACGATCTTGGCTCACTGCAACCTCTGCCTCCTGGGATCAGGCAATTCTCCTGCCTCAGCCACCTGAGTAGCTGGGATTACAGGCACGCACCACCATGCCCAGCTAATTTTTTGTATTTTTAATAGAGACGGGGTTTCACCATGTTGACCAGGATGGTCTCGATCTCTTGACCTTGTGAGCCGCCTCGGCTTCCCAAAGTGCTGGGATTACAGGTGTGAGCCACAGCGCCTGGCCTAAAGGTTTGTTTTTAAACAAGACATAAAAGCATATACCATAAAGGAAAATATAAAACATTTTAACTACATTAAAATTGATAATTTATTTTAATTAAAAAATAAGAATGAAGAAAGCAAAGTCATATTAAAAATAGTTATACTTTGGTAGATACTTTTTCTCATCACTATGGAGAGATTTCACTCTTTTTGGCTTCCCTTTTTGCTGTTGAGGAATAAGCAGTCTGACTGTCATTTTTCTGTAGGTCAACTGATCTTGTTCTTCAGTTGCTTGGAAGGCCCTTTCTTTGTTTTGTGTTTATTCATCTGCTCTGCCATTTTGCCCTGGCATGGCTGTATATTTTCTTTTTATTTCTTCTGCTTGGGATTCTTAAAGTTTTCTGAATCGGAAGAATATCATAGTCTATAAAATATAGTATATTTTT